GAAGGCCTGCTCTGCAGATCTGTGCTGCCCACGCAGACCCGCTGTGCTGCAGGGCAGCCCCGCAGAGCGCATCGCGGGAGAGCCCTTTGGGCACGGGCACAGGGCTCGGGGGGAGACAGTGCCCTGTTCAGAGCCTTCCTTCCATTCGGGCGACTCGGTCTCCTCACTGTTACCCCCGCCATGTGCCGGTGATGCCCACCCCCTGCCCGCCCTCCTTCCCGTAGATCCTTTACCACCATCTTCTCTAAACATGGGCCTGCGCGGGGCCACTTGTACTGGGTTGGACCAGAATTCACGTTGCGAAGCTCCCTCTTTAGAGCGTGTGCTCCCCATGGTGTGCTTCTGACCGCAAGGTAGGCCGTGTCCTAGAGGGGGGCCTTGTGAGGAGCGCCAGGTTGAGGGAAAGCCAGACCCTTTACTGCCGGATGTTCTCCGTTTCCTTTTTTTTAAATTGCTCTTTCTGCTTCTAACGCTCCTTTTGACGCTAAAGTAGGAGGCCCAGTTGAATTTGAAGTTCAGATGAATAACCAACAGTGTTTTGGTCTAAGTTGCTTGAGCCTCTGTATTGTATTGGCGCCTGCTCTAGGATCTCCGGGGTTTGCAGCAGGGCCTCAAGTCCTGCATCCATTCTCCCAGGGGCCGCGCGGAGTGTGTGGCAAATGCGTCCGAGCTTCCGGTCAGACCAGCGCTGTCCTGACGCTGCGTGACCTTCCCAGGCCCTCGACCTCATGGCCTCTCTTCATCCGTAAACATTAAGGGTTGGATTAAGGACTCCTAAATCCCGTGACTAAAATGATTCCCAAACCTCCCCTCTTCGCTGTGTTAGTCACGGCAGGTACTAGACACGACAGGTCTGTGGAAGTAGGGAGCTGGTTGTCCTGAACTTCCATATGTACCCCTGGCGTGAACCCCTGGGCAGCTGTGGGCGTGAACACCTGGGAGGGCCTTCTCGAGGGTGTGGACGTGACTCGGCCCTGGGGGTGGCGGGTGGACTTGGAAAGTGGGGCACTAGGTCACACGGACATGTGCCTGCAGACATGCCGTTGGAGTGCATGGCCCCTTTGGGAATGAGCCAGTAGACATTTGGTGGTTTTGGAGAGCTGTGAACCCACGGGTTTGTGTTCTTCAGTTTATCAGACTAACTATGTTGAGTTTGTTTCTCAGAATATTACAGATACGAGTCAGTGTAGCATTTGCCACTTTTTAAAGAGAAATATGGGTGAGGGATTCTGCAGGGGCTGGAACTGGGGGAAGGAATGGCTTTTGGAGAAAAGACATCCCCTCGTTCTAAATTGCTTTCATTTGAAGGTGGAGGCTCAGAATAGCCCCTCTCCCCAGTGAGAGCAGCGCACGCGCTGCCCGATGTCCTCCGCCCGTGCGATCCCCGCCTGGAGCAGAGCTCCTCAGCCGTGGAAACCATAACCCGCTTTTGTTTTAACCCCATTCCTTCCCGCAGCACCGAGATACACTGGAGAAAAGGGCTCTGACGTCAAGTCCATTGGGAGATGCTGCCCCCCCCCGGCCCCGACTCCGGGGCCCTCTCAGAACGTCACAGCCCATCTTCAGACATGAGGGCCCCTGGAGAAGCCTGCCCATCTGTCTCCCAAACACGCGTGATCTCTGAACTCTCTGTGAAGGGCATGTGCTGACACCCGCAGAGCCGGGCTCTTTGGAGCCGCGCTGGGCACCTGGTGTCGGACCTGTCATGTTCTCATTGACCCGGGGGTGTTCCATACGTTTATAAACACACAGAACAGACACAGGTTCCAGCACAGGGCGTCCCCTCCCATGCATCGTTTGGTTTGGCTCTGAGGCTTACCTGGGCTCCTTTTCATACTGTTATTTCAACTAGATAATTGTGAGGCCTTGACCGCCTGATTAGGTATCGTTCACCTGGGATTCTGCCCCCGAGGTTCTGTTCTGTAGTTACAGTTTCTCTGGTGTGGCCTTCGAGGTCAGTGCTGATTAGTGTCTTTCGTTATAGCTATCGCCAACATCCCTTTTACCAGAAACACAGCACCTCAGTCTAGAATATGTCCCTGGCCATCAACTCGGTGAGAAACTTGGCGTTTCAGGCCTTTAAAAAATTCAGAGGCGGCCCCCGATTTCTCTCCAAGCAATAAGTATTGCGTGAAGATGACCGGCCGTATGTTAGACGTAACTCAGATGCCTGGGGCCATGGTTTCCCTCTCTGTCCACGAGTGCGGGGAGTCTTCCCTCCCAGGGGCGCGTTCACGGGGGGCCCACCCGAGTGAGCTTCCCGTGGGGCTCACGGCCGTCGTGTTCTCACCCCGTCCCTCCTCCTGTGTTTATCACTGAGGTGCTGATGTCAGCAGGTCTGTCCTCGTCATTGTCTGTACGAACTTATTGAACGGGTTGTAACCTACTTCTGTCCACATGCACTTATTTTTAAATGAACCTGTAGGTTTTAAGCTGAAGCATTAACTGGCATGTAGAATGTTATGGGCGTGGTCGCCGTGGGCCTCCGCGGTGGGAAACCTGTCGCTTCACTGACACTAACCTGACGACTTTCCTTCCCTTTGCTTCCGCTGCTCCTCCGAAGTCTCCTTCCAAGTGGTTTTGGAAACTGGTGCCCGTAAGTTTGCTCTGAGAACTGTGCCCGTAACGTGGCCTTGCTGTGTCCTGCTGGCGCGGTCACTACAGCCTGTCAGTCACGCAGAGAGACTGCCCGGCAGTGGTCCCGTGGCATAGGAAGGTAGACAGTCCCGCCAGGCTGGGCCGGAAGCTGTGAAGTCATCTGATGCGGCAGCACCTTTTGCTTATCTTGTCAGTAACCACAGACCGTCAGTAACCAGGTTTTAAAAAAGCATTAGTTTTAATAACGTTAGTAGGAGTGAATATGAATTCTATGTGTGAACTATTTGTATTTAAAGCCATGGTTTTGAAAGAATCATCTCCTCTTCAGCCTGAGTGGTAGGGACACCGTGATAGCAAGTGACCGCTGTCCTTACCAGCTCCGGACTTCCTGTCTCGGTTCTGGTTGACCCAAAGGGCTGGTCTCTCAGGACCAAGGTTGGGGTCAGCCCACTCACAGTGCCTGGCAGCCTTCACGCCTCTGGTGAATGTGGTGAGCAGAGACATTTACCGCTAAAGCCAGCAACGCTCCGTGTGTGCACACGTCCACACGTGTGCTTGTGTGTCTGAGCCTGAGTGTGTCCAAGCTTGCGTCTGTCTGTGCATGTGTCCGTGCATCTGTGCATCCATGCGCACGTGTGTGTGTGTGTGTGTGCGCGTGTGTGTGCGCGCCTGGAGCAGAGGGGCTGCTGGCAGAGAGCAGGGCAGCAGGCGCACCTCCCGCTGGTGTCCGTGGCCCTGGGGGGTGGCCCGGTCCCGTGCAGACCATGGGCCCAACCAGCTTGTCCCAGGGACCTGGGGAGCCAGGGAGCCGGCGGTTCCCGGGGTGTCGGGGCCGCCGGGAGCATGAGGACCTGCACCTGCCTCCCGGGTGAGAGGAGTCCTGACCGCGCGGCATCAGGAATCGGTGCAGACGGCAGCGCGTGGGCGCGGTGTGTCTCTGAGGAGGGACACAGCATAGATGGAGGCGTCGGCCCGGCACGGGGACATGTCATGGTGATGTTCTGACTGGAAAGCAGAGAGGGGGCCGGTTTAGGTGGAGTCAGAAGGAAAGGGAGTTTTGATTATTTTAAAGACCCACTTGAAAGGGCAGTGACCAGCACCGCCATGAGCTGTGCTGCTGAACTCCTCCCCGGCTCGGCCGCCTTGGGGAGCTGGGAGCTGGTACCAGCCAGCCTTGAGCTCGGCCTGCGCGGTGCCCAGCAGCGTGCGCGCACCTGAGGCCGTCATCTTGTCCACCGCCCAGGGGCCCGCCTCAGCCCCATTTTACAGATGGGGAAACTGAGACGCGAGAGCTCCTAAGTGGCAGGACCAGGATTTGAACCGGGGTCTCTGATCCCAGAGCTTGTCTTAACCACTGGGTCCTCAGCATCTCGTTGCCGGGAGCAGAGCTGTCCTGTAAACCCTCACGGCCCCCCCCCTCCCCAGCC